CGCAGCTAGCATGTATTTTTGATTTTTTTTGTTTGGGTTATTATCATATGGGCTTTTTGTTTATAATGTTTTTATGTTTTTTTTCTTTGGCCTTATTGTTTTAAATCCCAAAATAGTGGGACAAACTCTTCAGCTTAACGAGCTCAAACCCAAAAATAATTAAAAATTGATTGAAAAACAAACAGTCAAAAAAAATGGCACTATCATGTATATTTTCTATTAGGACATATTTCCTAATATATATTTTCAAAAAATTATGTATATGAAAGAAAATCAAAAAAATAAAATTGAAGTATTTTTCCTTATTTATTAAATGGATATGTAATTTCTCTTACATTTTTAATAGCTACTATAATTTCATTGAAAGCATTTCTCACAATCGACTCTAATGGATTATTAGACTCCGGCGAATGGATTCCTATAGTCGATGACGTCGTAAATAAAAATGCCACATTATTCATGAACAAAACTCAAACTTACAAAAAAAACATATACAAAAACCTATCTAATGAAAGCAGACAACAAATAAACTTAAATTAAGGTTATTTTCAAATTGATAAATTGTTTACTACAAATATAAATACTATAAATAAAGAATTATATCATGTTTTGACCTCCGGTATAAAAGCATTCACCACCACTGACTCTAATGGTTTATCAGACTCCGGCGAATTGTATCCTACAGTCGACAACACTGTAAAAAATGCACATCATTCGTGAACATAGCCCGAACTTACAAAAAACCATATACAAAAACCTATCTAATGAAACCAACCAACAAAATATTAACTTAAATTAAGGTTATTTTCAAATTGATAAATTGTTTAGTGCAAATATAAATACTATAAATAATGAATTACATCAAGTTTTGACCTCCGGTATAAAAGCATTCCCCACCACCGATTCTAATGGTTTATCAGACTCCGGCGAATGGATTCCTACAGTCCACAACGCCGTAAATAAAAATACCACATCATTCATGAACAAAACCCGAACTTACAAAAAACCATATACAAAAACATATCTAATGAAACCCAAACAACAAATATAAACTTAAATTAAGGTTATTTTCATATTGATAAATCGTTTAGTACAAATATAAATACTATAAATAAAGAACTATATCAAGTTTTGACCTTCGGACTCCCGTATAAAACTATTTACAGCAAAAAAAAAAACAAAAACAAGATAAATACCTATAATTACAAACTAAAAACTATATTATAGCTTAACTATTCCGATAAACCTCACTTCGCATATAAATAATATTTAACACATTATATATACAATATTTTAGTTTACACTCTTGCTACAATCTTTCTATTTCATCATTATTTGGTGTTATTAGAAGAATTCACTATACCAACAATGGAAAAAACATACACAAACAACAATGATTCCAGCCCGCGCTTTCGCGGGGGAGGTGCAACTAGTACAAACTAATACAACTCCAATAGCAATAAAAGAGAGTAGACTTTAGTGTTTGTCTACTTTCCTACTTGTAGACTAATAAAGAAGTCTGCTTTTGTTGTACACATTTAAAAAAGTCTACATTATGGAAATCAGACTTGTTTAACACTTCATAGCAATACCAAAAAAGCCTACAAATTAAACATAAGTTCATATACAGCAATAGGTAGCTGAGCTATTTTCTGTGAAAAAAAATGAAAATTTACATAGTTAGAGATCATGTTTCAAAAAACTATAAAGTAGACTTACCAATACGTCTACGATTATTAGCTAACTACATGATCAAATCAAAAGTATCATAATTTCATAAATATATCGTATTTTCTTTTACAAATCACTCAAACATATTATGATTAACTAACACACACTGTCAAACAAAAAAATCTTGAAAAAACTTAATGAATAATACACAAATTCACTTTTAATATATTTTCAAACGTAGACTCCATAAGCAGTCTGCGTAAATATAGACTTTCATAACAATTTACACATGTAGACTCCATATGCAGTCTTCTATATAGGTTAGTTTTTGCAATTGAAAATTTTACGGGTTACTTTCTGTATTTGAACAAAATGTGATTTTATACATGTAGACTTCCATTTCAGTCTACATATAAAAAATGTTAGTTTTTTCAATTGACCAAAAATCACCCAATATTTGACTTACGAAAGTAGACTTTAACAACAACCTACCTGTTTTAATTTTTTTGAGAGAGGTTAGTTTTGAAATTGACCAAGTTTGACTTTCTATTACTAAACGGAAACAAATGTATACATACCTGTTGACTTCATACGAACTCTACCCTTAAATACGGAGGATTAGTTTTACATTTGACCAAAATAAATAGTAGACTTCATGTGTTGTCTATCTTTTTTTTTTTTTGAAATTAGTATACTGAAATTAAAGTCTACATTTATTTTTTGTTTTTCTTTTTAGTCAACTTTTTAACATTTTAGTCAAATACAAAACTATCATATTCAACGGAGTCAAAATTTGGGTCAAATACAAAACAATTTTTTTGTAGACTTCTCGGGGAGTCTACAGTCTGTAGATTTCTGACGAAGTCTACATAGAAAAGTTAAAAGTTTGGTCAAATGCAAAACTAACCTCTTTTACGTAGATTTCTTTGTAACTCTACCTCATTTTTTTGTTTTTGTTACATAAACAGTTAGTCTGGTCAATTGCAAAACTAACATGTGCGTTGACAAGTAGTCTGCGTCGTAAGCATACACGTATGCGTAGACATACGATACAGTCTACTATCGCGACACAGATCCGAATATGACGAAAACCATGTAAATAAGTACCTTTTCCGGTGTAAAGCTTGTTTCCACCCTTTTCCACCGTCCAAGCTCCAAATATGAAGAAAAAGAAGGAGTTTAGACGACCAACAACACATTACACTCGATATAATGAAGTTATGCTTATGAAAATGAAAGTTATGAGAGTTTTTTAGATGGAAATAGAGAGGAAATAAGAGGAAGTGAAGATTTGTTGATTTAGAATGAGAAAAAAGTGGTTGAAAATTGACTTTGAGTGGTTTAAAGAGCTAAAAAATGGTGGTTCATGGTGTTTGAAAATTGATAACGATGGCATTGTTGTAAATAAGAAGAAAAGTTTAGGGTGTAATTGTTTTTTTGTCATTTTCAAAAATAATTGAAAAACAAATAATAATGACAATTCTGTAAATATTTCAAAAACATAAAGATGGTTTGGAAATTTCATGGATGTATAATAATAATAAAAAATGGGTTGATTTTTCATTTAACTAGAATTTGTGGGTTGTTTTTGTAAAACACCCATTATTAGTTTCAATAGATATGTTTGGTTTAAATTAAAACGACAGTAATTAGCCGTCATTATTCTCTATTTTTAGAGAGTACAAAATTAACAATAAATAATTCAGAAAATTTAATATTATATATACTATTATTTATTATATTTCAATTGGACATAGTAAAAAATAAATAACACTAAATTTATATCAAGAATATTCAAAATTTAAAACATTTTACACAAATTATTTCTTTCATGATAATAAATTAGTACCTCCAAACTAAATCATTGAAAAGATAATTGATAAAATAATTAAATATCAATTTTAAAACACTATATATAGTATAATAATATCATAAATAAAAATTGATATTTTTTAATATAATAGGAAAATGATGTTTCCGAATAAATTTGTTTCAGATCATAATTATATCTGGAAGGAAATATTTATGAAACTCTAGTGTTTTACTTATTATGTTGTGCAACTTATTATAGCTTTTGTTGAATTCTGATTAATAACAAAATTATTTGGTAGGATTTTTTTGAATTCCATTTCAAAATAGTATTTTATAAATTGATGAAAGAGTATATTTCTATATTTTGACTTTAGTTACATACCACTTCATAATTCACTGTAGGAAGTTAGGATGAAGCAAAACATAACTAAACAACGAAAAAAATAAAAGTTTTTTTTTTAAAAAAAAAAATTATTTTCAACTGAAGGTGAGTTAATATATATTCACCATTTGTTTTTATTCTTATTTCAAACTATAGGTTTATCTAACTATTAAGAAAATTTTCATTTTTAATCATGTAATTATAATACATTTTTCAATACTGATTTTGCCTCTATTATAATAATTCGTAAAATATAATTATTCGGAATTATTCTTATTGACAATTCTTTTACCAAACTCAAATTATATTATTTATTTAATAAGTAAAGTTTTTCTTATTTTGTTTGTTATATATCATATTATTTTTTAATTTTCTAAACAGATTACAAAGATTTGCTCTTCACAACAAAACAACCCTTGGGCATGATTCTGCGTTTGGAGATCCGAATGAACCGCTGCTTCAATCGTAACATGTTTCGCAAATCATTCTGAAACTCGGCTAGTACTCCCTTTAATACCACGTTCTGCTCTTCTAGAAGAGAGATAGGTGAAGCTTATCACATTGTATAAGCACGAACTTTGATAAGAGCCTTTAGAGACCCTAAAGATCCCCCTCAGAAACAAATAAAGGCTATAACTACTTTTATACTCCCTCCGTTCCTAAAAGATGTATATTATAGAAAAAATATTTGTTCCAAAAAGATGCATTTTTTACCTTTTCAATGAATGATTTAATGAAAAATTGTAAGTTTCAAAAAAATTAATGGTGTTTATTGAGTTTCTATTGGTTAAAAGTTATGAAAAATTGTTATTCACAAAAAAACAATGCATTTACAATCAAAATTAAATGAGTTTTCTTAATATTTGTGAAAAGTCTAAAACATGGATTATTTAGGAACAGAGGAAGTATTATAATCCAACAGTTCGTGCAATCTATTGATGCCTAAATAGATCAAGTCCAGAGGTAAGGTAGGTAAGGTTTAATCTGGTGGTTGTGTGTATTTCTTCCTCTTCACCAATAATAATCTCATCTTTGGTACTAGACTCCACTCTCTTTGTCCCTTTTGGTATTTTGGATATAAAATCAGAGAGACAGACAATCCCAAGGTTTGATTGTTTCTTCTTTTAGAAAGATAATGAACAACCACCACCATTTCGTTCCTTACTTCGATACCAATGTTGATCATGTAACACACTTCTTCGTCAAATCTTCCAAGAAAACCCATCAAGTAAGTAAGTCCTGACCTTTGTGTCTCTTCTTGTTGTTCTTTTTTTATTTAAGTTGATGTTAGTTTATGTGATTATTAATTTAGAGGTGAAGAAGAAGATGATCTTCTGGAGCTTCTATGGCGCAACAGTCAGGTGGTTCTCCATAACCAAAGACCCACGCCAACATCTGCTGTCAAGCTTCACAACGGAGGAGGAGAAGCTCCTCCGTTAGATCATTATCTCTTTATCCAGGAAGATGAAGTGTCCTCATGGCTTCACTATCCTCTCTGCGACCATAGTTCTCCTCTGATCTTCTCTTCCCCGCCGCACCGACGTTGGAAAGACAGACCTCTAATCAGATCACTGCCCCTAAACCACTGGTACCTTTGTCAGTGAGGCCACCAGAAAATCCATCTCTCAGGCACTCCGGTAACATTGTCTGTGAGGCCACCGGTACGGAACTTCATGAACTTCTCGAGGCTGAGAGGGGATTTTGACGGTAGAGGAGAGTCTGGACCGTCGATTTCAAAGCCGATTGTGAGAGAGTTGACGCAAGTAAACCCTTGCCTCACACCATCGCAGCGAGAGAATCCGATCTAATACGGCGGACAGATGGCACTGATAGTCGAGGGGCGGTTGATTTCAGATCCAGATCCGCCGCAGTTGGAGGTGGAGCAAATAGTTTTGTATATCTAAGTGGAATGTGGAGACCTTACGGAGTGATTAACACTCCTTTATATAATAAGATACATGTGTATTTAACAAAAACTTACAAAATATTTAATTGCAGTGCTAGGGTTCTTAGAGCTTTTGAGGGTTTGATGGCGATTTGGCAAAAATATTCATTCGATCGACAACTCTATTGAGTTCTCGATTTGTTCTCCTCATTATGACAAACGGACGTCATGATCAACTGTGGTGCTTTGTTCGAGCTTTGGTTTCCCCATGTTTTCACTTTCCACCTTCCTTTCTCACCATGTTTGCGATCTGTTCGCTCACCACTGATCTCAGTTTTGTTCTTCGGATATTTGTATCAAGCCTGTAAGCCTTGGTCCATCTATGTTTCGACTTTGCGGACGATGGGTTTGCGTTTGCTTGGTCGTCTGTCTTGTCTTCTTACAGAACATCTTCTCGTCGTCTTTGTTTTTGTCGCGTGCAGATTTCGTTTGATTACTTTGTGATTCCTTTGAATACACATAATCACATTGGCGAATTTGCGATCTAAACAAAATCTTTGTTCTTCAAAGATAGATCATAAGGGTAAGGGAATCACCAATGATGATGATGTTGAACCAATTCAATTGGTAGACCTAGCGGATACTATCTTGATCCAAGAATATCGACTGTCACTAATTAGAAAAGTTATGAAGTCTAAGAGGCAAATCGTTGAAAAGTTTACTGCTTTTATTTGGTAACATTTGGGTATGAAAAATATCAAAGCTAATGATCTAAGAAATGGTAGATTCTTGTTTAATTTTGACAATGAAGGTGACCTGTAATATGTCTTGAAGTTTGGACCCTTTCACTATCTTTTCCATGTTTGTGTTTGCCTGATGGGAGCCAATTTTCGAGGAAAACTATCCATGGGTTGTTTCTTTTTTGATCCAACTAATAGGGATGCATAACATTAGACTTATATACGAACATCAACTTGCACAACATTAGCAGCAAGATTGGAGTGATTCAGGTTGTTGACGAGCTCCATTGAAAGAAGAATGTTAATTGGCATGAATAGTAGGAAGCCTCTTAAATTATAAGGAAGACCAGGTCTCAGGAAGGGAGTGAGACTACAACTCAAAGCAAATATACAGGCTCTTTAAGCATTGCTCTCACTGTGGATGCATCACACATGAAGTTTCTTTTTGTAATAGAAAGCTTGACGAACCTTTTATGATATTCAAATATTTAATGTTTTTTTTCTAGAGTTCAGATTAGTACCATACAACAAATTAAGTAAATTGAATGTGTTTTCTAGAGTTCAATTTGGTAACTTAAGTTCGCGTTATTGCTTAGAAGAGAAGAAACGAACCGATCATAATGTCATTAATTTCTCAGAGTCACTAGTAAATTGATGGCAATGGGTATTACTCTAGAAGGTATGCTTGTCACACTCGGGTGCCCCGGAGCTCTCATTCATCTATGGAATCTTGTGGTTTCTACTCATGTGATCAACGATCTTAAAATATGTATGTTTGCAGAGATGGGAAAAATTATGTGTGACGTGTACAGAAAATATCTATTCACTTAACTTTGGATGATACTCATGTTGAGAAATAGAAGAACTCTCATGCTTCTTCATCACGAACTCTTATGCTTCTTCATCACGAGCTGCGGCCTCATTTGCATCAAATCTGGTCAAAACTACTCAAAAGAAACTGGCAAGCAAAATAGTTGAATCACCTCTGAAAATCAATTCTCGAAATGTTTCTCTGGTTCATCAGATTTGATTATTCGTCAATCTTCTCCGAAAGTTACTCCAGTTTCCTATGGTTATTCGAATGGATTATGTTACAACTGCAGATCCTCCTAGTGATTCTATGGTCATTAGAGATTTACATGAAGATAGGCATGCTGGGATTGAAGAGGATGATGATCACATACTTAATATCATTGTGAAAGATGGTTGAAGGTAATTGAAGTTTGCACAACGTAAGAGAGAGTATTAAGTATGTGACAACAACGAAAACTCGTGAAGTATTGTTCAAAAATGTGTGGTTGCTACGGGTATTAAATAGAATGCGGGGCTGATATTGGATGTGCAGAGAAGATGGAATTCAACATTCTATATGCTTGAAAAAGCCATCAAGTACCGTAAAGCATTTGTTAAGTTTGAGACATTTGATAGGAGAGGTTATAAAATGGTGCCTACAGCTAAAGAATGAACACAAGCTGAGAAGATATGATATTTTGTAGGGCCTTTTGCTAAGATCACACGTTTGATGCCAGGTTCTAATTACCCAACTTCAAACTTGTCTTTCCATCAGGTTTGGAAGATTCACAATTGGCTTGAAATGAATGAGAAAAACGAAGATGAGATTGTCAGAGACATGGTGCCACCGATGAAAGAGAAGTTTGATAAGTACTAGGATGATGTTAGTGTTTTTTTTTTGTAATGGCACCAGTCTTTGATCCTCAATTTAAGCTTCCAATTGTCGAACTTTGTTTAGGGAAGCTTGACATGAGTACACGTGATTAAAAGTTGAAGCATGTGTGCCGTAAGATCAGTAAGCTTTATGAGTCGTACAACAAAAAATCCAAGACCAAATCACCTTGTATAGAGCCACGTCAGATGGTTCAACTAAACGTTGCTGCTGATGGACCATTAGGAGTGTATACGAACTATGATGTGTGCGTCTTGTAATTTATTATATTCAGTTTTTATTTAAAATCGTTTTTTTAAATAAAATATTCATAGGATTTCTTCGCATTTCGCAAAATCAGTGGCGTTGCGCATGGAAAGATAGCTTTAAAAGCTTATTTTGATGAAACAGCTTTTAGCATGACTAATTTCCAGAACATGGACATTCTCCAATGGTGGAAAGATAATGCTCATTAGTGTGCTGATTTTTCTGCATTGGCTCGTGATTTGCTTACTATTCCTATAACAATAGTGACTTCGGAGTCTTCGCTTAGATTTGGATCGCGAGTTCTTAAAAATAGGAGCCATCTACTTCCAAAGAATGTGCAAGCTCTGATATGCTAGTAATTGGCTAACTTCAATTATCATTACTCGGAGAAGATGAAGTTGATTGTGAAGAAGAGACCCTCATATCCCTTGAATCGGTTGTTAGTGATGATGTTGAAGAACAAGAAGTGTGATTTGTTGTTTTTGATTTGGTCTTTTCTTTTTATATACTTTTGGGAATGGCAGTTTTGATTTGGTATTTTATTTTAATTTATGATTCCGTAAACTAAAGCATTGGTTGTGAACTTATGACTTATAAATTTTTGGAGTCAGCCACTAAAGCAATGGTTATATTAATATTTTACTTAATTTTTGATTCCGCAAACTAAAGCATTGGTTATGAGCTTAAGAGTTATAAATTTTTGGATTCAGCCACTAAAGCATTGGTTATATTAATATGTTTGGAGTATGACAAAAGTAACTAAACAAGTGTTTTGATCCAGCTAAAATCTTAAAGTCATCTTACCTGATCCAGTTCAAACCTCGACTTGACTCACATACTTAAGAGTCTTGAAGCAGCTGAAGCGACCTGAATCATGTCCTGAAACGTCCAAAAGGCGAATGCCCGTATGTAATCACATGTCCCATGGGCCAGGCCTGCAAAGGCCTACATATATCGCGGGACACGTTTGATCAGTCATTCCGCTGGACATGACCCACCGTGACCTGCTTAAAGATGAACTCGCTGCAGTACGAGATGGGACGAGACGAAACAACTTGTTTGCCATCTCTACTTACATATGAATTATTAAAATGATTAGCACCTATCATGCAACATATTATCTCATGTTATCTTACATTATATCGATTCAAATATTAATAAAATAAAGTTGATAAAATCACTTTATAACACATTAAATTAATAACTAGATAAATATTTATTTAATATAAGTTTAAAAGGTACTAAAAACCTTATAAATATATACTATTGAATTAGCCAAAAATCTGTAAAATTTCTTTTGGGTTCGGGCTAGTTCCTTTCGGATCCATGTTCATTCAAATATCTATAAAATACTTGTAATGTTTTGGGTACTTAACGGATCAGGATCAACTCGGAGAAAAAAGGTCCAAAAAAGACTTGAAATATCTGAAAACCCAAAAAGATTCAAAATCCCAAAAAAATACTGACATGAAAACATATCTGAAAACTCAAACAAATACCCAAAAATATTCAAAATATCTAGAAGACTCAGACTCAACAGAGACCTACGAGTCCAAAAGAATATCCAATATGTACTTGTCCATTGATCAGGGCCAAACAGGAACCTGTATTTTTGGGTAAGCTTAGTTCCATTTTACGGGTCTGGATAAAATGCCTAGGTTTAACCGAGAGTTACAAAAATTATACACACAAAATTTCAAATAAACTAATTCATAAATTATATAATTTTTTAAATAAATCTCTTCTTCGACTTTTTAATATAATAATATACAATAATCACAAAAAAATATTTCATACTAAAATTGTTTATAATCATCCAAAACAACTCGCACTTTCGAAGCACAAGCCAAATTCTAAAAATTTGTTATAAAAAGGTTATTAGACTTATCTATAACTATTTATTTTTTTGGACTTACCATTAGTTATCGTAGAAATACAATGTTCTAAATGAATCCTATTATTACTCCTCATTTCACTTGATACATTTTTTTTTTCAAGATAAATTTTGTCATCCAATATTATGGTTATTATGTGATAACGTCATACACCATAAAATCTTATACTCAATAATGGACCTACACTTAATTATTAAAGTGAGTTGGCATCTATCATACTACATATTATATCATTGTCATCTTACATTGTATAGTTTCAAATAGTTATATAATCAAACTTGATAAAATCACTTTAGCAAACCATATGTAAAAAAAAAAATTTATATAATACATTAAATTTGATAAACAATATTTATAGTAAAAAAAAATTATTTAATATAAGTTTAATAAATATTAAAAACCTAATAAACTGTGCTATTGAATTAGCTGAAAATCTGTCAAGTAAATATCAAGTCTCACCAACTTAACAAATGTAACTCTTATAAAATACAAACAAAATATAATGAGAGAGAGAGAGAGAGAGAGAGAGAGAGAGAGAGAGAGAGAGAGAGAAAGCATGGGCATCAGATTTTCGGGTTGGATCGGGTCCCTCGGATACTAAACATTTGGACCTAATAAGGTATTTGAATTTTTTTTATTTGCATTCGGGTTGGTTTCTTTTGGGGTAGTGTTGGTTCCTTTCGGGTCTGGCGTTCGTAATTCAAATACTTATATTTTTTTTGGTACATAACAGATCCGGATCTGTTCGGATATTTAAGACCCGAAAAGACTTGAAAGACTTGAAAAATCTCAAAAATACTAAAAAAACCCAAAACACTGACATGAAAACATACCCGAAAAACTCCAAAAAAAAAAAACAAAAATCTTAGAGTATCCATAAGACCCAAAATGTTACCTGGAATCTGACCCGAGAACAAATAAATATCTAAAATTTGATCCGAATTCCCAAAAACCCAAAACTATAACCGAAAGTCCATACCTGGAAATTAAAGAATTATATGTAATACTAATAACATATTTGAAATACCCAACTATACCTAATATAGAAAAAAATATTTTTGGGTACTTTCGATATCCAAAAAACATACCCGAAAAACTCCAAAAAAACCAAAAATCTTAGAGTATCCAAAAGAACCAAAATGTTATCTGAAATCTGACCCGAGAACAAATAAATACCTAAAATTTTATCTGAATTCCCTAAAACCCGAAACTATAACCGAAAGTCCAAACCTGGAAATTAAAGAATTATATGTAATACCAATAAGATATTTGAAATACCCAACTATACCCTATATACACAAAATATTTTGGGTACTTTCGATATCCAATCGGGTATCAGGTAGGACATGTACTTGACAGAGACTTGTGGGTCTAAAAAAATACGCAATATGTACTTTTCCCTCGATCCGGACCAAACCAAACCTTTGTTTTGGGTCAGTTTCGGTTCCATTTTTCGGATCCTGATAAAATGTCGGGGTCTAAAAGAGAGATACATAAGAGTATACATACAAAATCTCAAATAAACTAATTCATAAATTTTTAAGAATTTGTTTTTGCAATATAATACATTTGTAACATAATAATGTACAACAATCACAAAATACTATTTCATACTAAAATTTGTTTATAATCATGCAAATTAAACCCGTTGTTTTGAATCACAGGTTAAAATCTATTATATTCTCTTAAAAGGGAATTATTCTAAAAATCGGTTATAAAAAGGTTGTCGGAATTTTCTATTATTACTCCCCATTTAACTTGATACAATTTTTTTCTAAAGATATTTTATCATCCAGCAGTATGATTATTATGCAATAACGTTATACACCATATATTATACTCAATAATAGACCTACACATCAAATATTTGAATGAGTTAGCATCTATCCTACAACATATTATATCATGTCATCTTACATTATATAGTTTCAAATATTTATAAAATTAAATTTGATAAAATTACCTTAGCAAACCATATGTTAAAAGCAAAATTTTATATAAAAGATTATAGTATTTTCTTATAAAAAATATTTATTGTAAAATTTTGTTATTTAATATAAGTTTTTAAAAAATAAAAACCTTATAAATCTATACAATTGAATTAGCCAAAAATATGTCAAATAAAAGTCCACTAACTTAACAATGTAACTCTTATAGAATGCATACAAAATGTAATGAGAGAGGGTGAGAGAGAGAGTAAGCATGGGCATCATATTTTTGGGTTAGGTACAGATCGGTTTATATCTAGCCCGGGTCCTAGTCACTTGGACCTAATTAAGTATTTGATTTTTTTTTATTTGGGTTCATGTTGGTTTATTTTGAGTTCCGGTTGGTTTCTTTCGGGTCAGGTTCATAATTCAAACACTTGTAATTTTTGGGTACATAACAGATCCAGATCAGTACTGATATTTAAGATCCGAAAAAGAATTAAAATACCTGAAAACCCAAAAATACTCAAAACCCAAAAAAATACTGACATAAAAACATATCCAAAAACTCAAAATAATACCCAAAAATCTTCAAATATCCAAAAGATCAAACATGTTACCTGATATCTGACCTGAGGAACAAATAAATACCTAAAATATTATTTAAATACTCAAAATATGTTTTTACAATTTGATGGTGTACATAAAACCCAAAACTATAACCGAAAACCCAAACCTAAAAATTAAAAAATTATATATATGTAATTACAAAAACATATTTGAAATACCAACTATACTAGTATACACAATATTTCGAGTGCTTACGATACCCGATTGGATCTTGGGTAGGACATGGACTCGACATAGACTTACTAGTAAAAAATATACTCAATATGTTCTTTGTCATGGATCCAAACCAAACCTGAACATGTATTGTTAGGTCAGCTTTGGTTCTATTTTTCGAATTCAGGTAAAAATTGACCGTTATCCGAGTCCGCATACTTTTTCTTTTGCAGTTTAAGATTCATGGCGATGTGTCATGGCTAGACTTTAATTAAATGGGCCTTTCTTTCTCTATCATGGGATTCCGATCTTAAACACCGGATTGTCGCCTATGAGCTGTTATTTGATATTTTTCCTGTCGGATTTTTATGAATCTTAACTCGGGATTTTGCGGGGTGAAACTCACCATTAACAATATACAAATGTCGGTAGCAGGTTTGTTATCCTTCACAATGTAAAATAGGAAATTTCCTTGGAGTTGAATAAATTTTTGTGGAAAAGGTATTTTGTTCTTAATAGATGTGCGTACAAAAGAGTGGTCAGAGATGATCACAAAAAAAAGTCAAATTTTGTTTTTTGTTTTTTGGCACGCACGTCACTGCTTACGAAGAAAAAGTAAAACGATTCTCAAAATGAGTCGGCTTACTCTCGGGTCATGTGGCAGTATTAAAAGTCAAAAGACTAGACTGTCCCTTACTGTCACTGGATCCATCATGAATTGTCATCTATAAATGTGATCCGATCCTTCATTCCTGACATCCAAATTAACAAGTAACAATAAATGGATAAAAACACAAGCTCATCCTCGTTTCCTCTAGCCAGTCGTGTAGCCATAGTAACTGGAGCCACAAGAGGCATCGGCCGTGCGATTGCCATTCACCTCCACAGCCTTGGTGCAAAAGTCACTCTCAATTATGTCTCGAGCACAACAGAAGCTGAACTCCTGGCCTCGGAACTAAACGCGTCTCAACCAAACTCTGCACTCGCAGTCAGAGCAGATGTTTCAGATCCGGAAGAGATCAACAGTTTGTTTGATCGAACCGAACAAGAGTTCCGATCAAAAGTTCACATTCTCATAAATTGTGCAGGTGTTTTGGACCCAAAGTATCCATCTTTATCAGAGACTACACTAGAAGATTTCGAAAAAACATTCAGGACAAACACGAGAGGGGCTTTCTTGTGTTGCAAGGAAGCTGCTAAAAGGGTTGTTAGAGGAGGTGGTGGAAGAATCATTATGATGTCTACTTCACAGGTCGGTGCACTCTCGCCAGGTTATGGAGTCTATGCGGCGTCAAAGGCTGCGGTTGAGACAATGGTGAGAGTGTTGGCAAAGGAACTGAAGGGAAGCAAGATAACGGTGAACTGTGTGGCACCAGGGCCGATTGCGACAGAGATGTTCTATGCTGGAAAGAGTGATGATATGGTGAAGATGCTTGCAGGGGCGTGTCCGATGGGGAGGATTGGTGAGCCAAAGGATGTTGCGGATATTGTAGGGTTTTTGGCAGGTGATGGTGGGGAATGGATCAACGGTCAGGTTATCAGAGCCAATGGGGGCTTTGTTGTGTGAAAAAAAAGGAAGATTTAATTATCAAATATTGATGTTAACTTCTTTCGGTGTGTTGAACATTGTGTAACTCGATTATGAGTGGACCACGTGGTTGATGAAAGTTCACATGTCTTTAGTCAACTTTCACTTAATAAACGAGTTTTGGGGCATAAAAAACAAAAGAGTGTCTGATAATTGTTTGCAAGCATATTTAATTGGGAAAATAAAAGAACGAGCACTGTGACAAATGATATATAGGTTTTAAAGTGCAATAAAAGATATATGATGAGCAAATTACCTAATTGTCTTGTATTTCAAATTATATTGTATCTTTCTGTAATGCCTCGAAACCTTAATCCTAATTTTTTTTTTCAAAGGGAAAACCTCCTAGTTCCAAAGCCAGTTGGGTTAAATTTAAGATTTTTTTTCTTCATTTCTTATAAATAGAAGCATATTCCATTTTTTCACCCATTATGAAACCAAAACGAAACTTGTAAAGATCTGTAGAGATCGGGAAACCTTAGTCGTCAAAGTTTCTCTTTTCCTCTTCTATATCTTTCTCTCTCGGACATCTCTCTCTCTGCTCTCTCACGCGATCTCGTCTTTTCTCTCCTCATCACGCCTCTCTCTCCTCACCGGACCACTGTGTGTGCCACCAGAGGAGCCGCAGATCGCCGTCCGTGAGCAGCCCCAGCCCAAATGCTTGGATCCTTGTTGTTCCTTATTCGTTGTTCCTCCGTCCCTTTGCTCTTCAGATCTACTTCCAGGTAAGGTGATCCGAACATAGTTTACTGTCATAATTCTTAATGCTGGTTAATGTTTGAATTAGGATTGGTTAGTCTTGCTTGTTGTTAGATTGTTAGATAATAATGGATGCTCGGTTGATAGATGCCTGAAACATATTACGTAAGAACCCTCACAATGGTTTTGACCCACTTTTAACCATGGTATTGAGATGATTTTATAATATATTTATATATATGTTTTGGAGTCTATTAGGTATGTTTTCAGGTTCAGGAGCATTTTGGAGTAAAGTAATGATCTAGGTGCCCTTATGGAGCTTAAAGGAGAGTTTTCCCGAGATGACTATAAAGATCAGACAACAAGGTCGATATCCAAAGAAACATATCGATCGATACACATCTTGTGTGATCGATCGACGACGCTTCCTTAGAGGATGACGAATCGAGATACTCCATCGATCGATGTACGCCTCGTACCATCCATCGATATCGAGCGTGAAGAACAAGTTTGACTCAGCCAACTTGAAGCCCAAGTTCTCTCAATATTACAAGATTGCCCCTAACGAGTTTTTAACCTAATGGAACTCATATTTATAGTTATGCCTATGTGTTTTGGCTAGACATGCTTTTTGTGCTTCTTGAGCTTTACATGCTTTCTACATGTTCTCCTTTTGAATGCTTTTTATGTTCTTAGTCCGTTGATTTATAAAAGTATTATTTTCATCTTATTCTTATTTTCATAAAAGTTTATAGAATTCTAGATTTATAAGAACACACAAAGAGATTTGTTGTTCAAAAAGAACCAAGTGTTCAATCTTCTAATCTTATGAATTTCTATTATTACCTTGATGCTATGAATCACTTACTCATGTCTGAGTAGATTCACTTGTTAGATTTAGGGTTCAAATAGTTATGAGGGATTAGCCCCAACTATGGAATATTGAGTTGTGATATTCATTATCCTGATGAACTCTAATGCTTACTCTAGAGTAGCTAACTAGAGTATGATCATGGAATGATTTAACTTGTTAATCATCATCTTGAAATCATCTGGTATAAGCTGAGATCCTCTAGGGACGAACGAGAGCCGGTCTATGATCTTGGTGAACACATATTCAGTTCGATCTGAAGCTATATCGATCGATACTCCTATAGAGTAATCGATCGACGACAACCCATATCGTCCGATATCGCTGTGAAACCATCGGGCGATATTGCCGGCAGTCATATCAATGGACGTGTCTAATAGCGATTGCTAATAGACTTATCTAAGAATTGAAGTTCTTTAATATCTTGCAAGCAACTTATAAAGACATATGTAGCATTATAATCCTGATTATCTGAATAGCAACCTTGAATCTAAATACTTTCTTTTATTGTTTAAAACCTAAAACCAATTCTCTTGAGCAACTCTCCATTGCTCACAACTGCAATTTACTTTTAAAACTTAATCAACCTAGCATAATCGCTTAGGATAATATCTTTTGTATTCCTTAGTTCCTTGTGGATTCGATCCCTAAGTACTACAACTGAACCTTTTATTTGAGAGAGTAATTCACTTCTTAGGGTAATTTGAGTGATATCATTATGTGATTGGTTACTATTGTCCTTGTTATGATTTGGTGAAGAGTTAGGTTGTTGGAAATAACTGTACGCGTCGGTTACTAAATGAATGGATTCAACTGAATATATGAATGTTCAGTATGCGTGTATTGAATGTGAACTGAAATTTTGTGTGACACCGAGAATGAGTGGCATCTAATGAATGTGTTAATTAGTTTATAGAATGAGAATGAGAAAGTTTTAATGAATGAGAATGATATGTTAAGACACCAAAAACATGTTACTTCAAGAAAAAGATGATGAGTTAATGTGAAATGATAAGAGCACTGTTACATCAAGTAATGTAGAGTCATGGCATAAGTGACTATTATGACCGCGGGGGAGACAGTGACGAAAGCGGCAAAAGAGCTGCGAGCGGGTAGTCATATAGGAATCTGCGGGATACTAGTCTAACATGAGATGCCTGCGGGATTGGCTGACACGAGGTGGGACATCCATGAGTGCCTAGGTCCTTAGTGTTGGAGCATGATTAATCACATACATCCAACCCCAAAAAGGCCGAAAGCGCAATGGACTGATTTATCAATCCATCGACAAAGCCCAACTATTATGGCCCAAAGGACTACCTCGCAGCTCTAGATAGCAAGCTTTGAGTCTACAGATAATGACTAATGATCTGTTCACCTCGTGGTCAAGCAGTTACGATACAAGCTAAGATTTCCAAAAGTTAGGCACGAAACGTGCACCCTAAATATGCGGGGTAGTTGGAGAGAGCTGATCAGTATAAAAGGCAAAGCCAATATCATTTACAGATATCTAAATGGAGACTGACTTACTCGAGATCTAGATTGCTCTATTTCTGGTGTATTTTCTTGTGCTTTGTTCTTTGTATCTTGGATTCACTTTAAGTAATATATCATTCCAGTTCGTGCAAATTGTCGTAGAGATCTACTCATGGAGACTGTTTCCCTAAACTTTACTATATTCACATTAAATTTCTAAGAGATTTTGCTTCCATAATTTTACGCTGTATGTGGGGAGACGATAAAAAACTATCTCTGACTGAAGAGCCCGATCAAAGACCTGCCAGACCGAAATGGATTTAAACACAAACGAGTCCATCTGAAACATTGCATTTTTCTGATCTGATGCAGTCATCCCGCCTCTGTATGTACGGTTGAGTGAATGTTAGAAACCGGAGAGCTCTTGCCAAGCTCATGTACTGTGTCAGGTTGTCAATCCTCTTGCTTAGAGCTTGAAGTTGACATCAACAAGTCAGATACTTGTTTACACTCCTTCATACCAGCAAGTTCTATGATTTCCCTTGTATCTAAGTGAGAAGTATTCCATCATAATTGTGGTCTGCCTTGATTCCCAAAACCTACATTAGACCCATATCCGGCAAATAAAACTTGGTTTTCAACCTTGCCGTAAAGATGTCAAGAAGAAGCTTTCTAGAATCTGTCAAGATAATATCATCAATGTACAGTAACAGATAAGTCAAGTCTCTTCCCTTGTGATAAACATAGTGTTAAGGATCACACTTGCTTGTGATAAATCCAAGTTGTTGTATGTAGTTGCTGAATCTATCAGTCCATGCTCTTGGAGTCTGTTTTTGAGACCATATAGTGCTTTCTCTAGCTTGCATACATAGTGTGGATGACTCTTGTATGTGAATTCTGGAGGTTGCTACATGTATTGTTTCAGATATCAAACCAAGAAGGAATGTGTTCTCAACATCGAGTTGCCTGATCTCCTAGCCTCGTGATAAGCCAACGTTTAGGAAACTTATTATGATAGCAGGTTTTACAACAGGATTGAATGTCTCGTCGAAATCATAACCTCATTTTTTTTCATTAGCGACTGCTAACCCACATCATATTTATCACTTAATATATATCATGGTTGTCTTGTAAGTATCTGGTTCATCACTTATTTTGAATATTTCATATCCAAAACCCAAATTCATCAGTAATTTCTGACAAAATTCCAATGGAAACCTAAACCTCAAATCTATACCCCAAATCATTAAACATTCATCAGGAATCGTCGGTATTTTCGTCAAAAATTTCTGATGAAATATGGACAAATGGTTTTATTTCATATTCGTCAGAAATACGAATATTTTTCTGTCAGAATTTTCATCAGAAATTGCCATGTTTCTGGTAGTGGATGGATGCATTCCCCAGTTTTTAAATGGAGGCCGATTATTGTAGTTATTGTGTCTTCCACGACCTTTTTTACCTCAGCGATTTTCTCTGTTGTTTTGTGACTTGTTGTGTTGATGTTGATGATCACGTGGTTTGTTGTCCTCACTTGTGATTACAAGAGCTGTGGAGGAAGAGGCATGATAAAAATGGCTGATGTGAACTTTGTGTGATTTCTTAAGTGCTTCCTCCATTTCCAGCATATTATTTCCTTCAACCAAAGTCGAGAAGGACTTCTGATGTTTAATCACGTTGATTTTTAATCATGTTGTTGTCCTCAGTTGTGATCACAAGAGCTGTGGAGGAAGAGGCATGATAAGAATGGCTGATGTGAATTTTGTGTGATTTCTTAAGTCATTCTTCCTCCATGTTCAACATATTATTTCCTTCATATCAAAACTCGAGAAGGGTTTCTGATGTTTAATCATGTTTATAATGTGATCAAATTTTTTGTTGAGCCCGTTGAACATATACACAACCTACTATGGGTCACTGACTAGCGAGTCAATGTTTTAAAAAATTTAGCAATGGATTTGAGTCTCTGGGTGTACTCTTGTATTGACATATCGTCAATCTCCTTTGTATGCAGGTCATTGTAAAGCCGGATTGCACAAGCTTTCTTGTTGTTGTGGAACTGATTTCTTCTTCATCTAGTTCTTCTTACGATGACACAGTGTCATAATGAGATATTGTAAAGTTGATGACAAGACATAGTGTTGTTGACAATAAGATGTTACCAATCACCACTGTCAGTCACCACTGGAGCCACCATTCTTCACCGAAGGATAAGCCAATGTCGCCGGAGGTCCATCGTCGTGCAGCATCAGAGCCATCTCCATGCCTTTTTTTTGTTGTGATGTTG